GGGTACCACTCAAACATTTCAATCGGGCTATCTCGGAATAACCGACTCGACTATCCAAGGTTCACTACACGTAAAATCATCATTGTCAAAACACCCTTTGCTTACGAAGAAAATAATCGTCACTTTAACGTGTACTCATTCAGCAGAATGGCACAATGGGGAAGCTCATTTCAGAAGAAGCATAAAAACGATAGATTTATCACAGACACTTTTCACTAGCAATGATCATCAAGCTTTAAATGATTGCGAATTCCCTTTTGTCTTTCAGTTGCCGAGTACGGCAGCTGGCTCTTTTAAGACTGATGCATGTAAAATTCTCTATCAACTTGAGGCCAAGATTTATCGTAAAGGAGCGTGGTATCAGATTTTTCCGCTTAAAAAGTCGACATATATTCCTGTACTCTGGCACGCTTTCCCCACTATGGAAATGTATCAACCAGTGACTCAATCAAACATTCTGAATTCAAAATATCAATGGTCTTTTGGTCTTGCTCGAACGCATCTTGCGCCAGGTGAAGAAATAGACGTACAGCTAAATGTTAACCTTCTAAAGCCTAACATATCAATAAAGTCGATCAAATACAGTTTGAAAACATATGTACATGCAAAAATTTGGCATAACAAATTTTTGGGTAAATTATATGCGTCAAAAACAGAGATTGAGGGCTACAATCCCATGAATAGACTTGTGATTAGAGTACCGGAAAACGTTATTTCAACAACAACAGACGGACCTCTTATTAAAGTAGAACATAAAGTTAAAGTTAGAGTTTCATTAAGTGGTGCTAAAGATATCAAAATAGAGCAACCTGTGATTGTAAGCCATCTTATGCCACCAGAATTGCATCACCAGTTATTGAACAGAGAAATCTGATATTCAAACAAACGAACAATTAAGAGTTTTTAGTTTCATTTAAGCTTATCTCCTTTTAAAATCTTGTTAGCATATAAATTAATAAATATCACTTTCAACGATAGGAATGTATCAACATTAAATTATATTTTACAATTAGCAAACTAAAAAATCTGTAAATAAGTTTGATGATATTATATTATATACCTTATATTATCATCCCTAGTCACGACTTCTTTAAAAGCCTACTTTTTCTTGATTTCGGGGGCAGTATCGCGATCTCACAGGAATAGTGGTTTAACGATACCATGCACTTAGATAAAATTCATCCTCGTTAAATCAAGAGTTTAATTTTATCTAACAAATAAACTCTAGTTAAAGACTTAATTTTGATTTACTATCTCTTCATATTTTTGACATAAACAACTTGACAACCGATACCAACGTAACCGCCAATATTAAATTTGTAACCTTGGCTGTTTTGCCAATAATTTCATGTTCAACGATAACTTATTTAAAAGCTATCGTTGGATTGGTAAAATATAGTGATACTGTCACCCTTACGGGAAAATTGTGTCCGGAATTTTACGTGATTATTACGTTACACACATACAGAATTTTACGGAGTCATACGGAACGATCATAAACGTGTCAGGGCTGTATGTCAGGGATGCGTAAGGAATGCA